ACACTCTGAGCGCTCTTTTGCGCTTGAATGAGCGTGGTGCTCTCTTCCTTTTATTTGCCCAGAATTTCAAGTTACGGTACTGATTGCATTGAATTGGAGAGCTCACTTCATATTCTATGATTCAGCAGACAGCATATAGCAATTCTTGCAGGAGTCCCTGCAGGAAGATGGTTGAAGATAGCTGCTGTAGAACTCAGTTTGTTTTAAAAACAGGAATGGTGTAATGATTATGCCACATTCCTCGGGATATTTTCCCCCGATTCTCCGGTTCTTGTAATGTCCTGACCTTGGCTTAGATTTAGCCAATCTCTCACCGTACTGTGAAGTGGAGTGACTAGGGCCGGGCCGGTGGGATGACTTGGGACAGATTTTGACTTGCAAATTGCTAGAAGTAAAATTATCTTTTTCGCCGCCTAAGGAATGCTTGCCTATGAGCACAGGCAAAAATTCCTTTAGTTGCGAAAAATATAATTTAACTTCCAGCATCATCAATTTGCAAGTCAAAAACCTGTTCAAAGACGCCCCCCCCTCCACTTTACGGTACTTGAGATTGCCCTAGCATTTTCATGCCAAGCACATACCATCTTTTAACTACGTATTTCTCATCCTTTTTCGAGAATGAGGACATGCAATCTTACTGCGGAAAATCGTCTTCTACTGGGTACAAGAGATGCGTGTGTCGCTATCACGCGCGCAGTGCCATCTGTAGTCGATCCACACTTCCTTATATTGGCTTTGGTAAAATCCGAGAAATTGGACCCCCCCCCATTTTCCCCTCTGGAGGCAAAACAGAGCGGTAGCGTCCACCTGCCACCTGGGAGGACGGAGTCCGATCCAGGTCTGACCCACACACATGATCTTTCCTGATTAACAGTCGGCAGCACGAGATTGAAGTATGTAAAGAGATGCAATGTAGCCCTACATACAAAAAATGGATATAGAGGCTACCAGACAAAAGGGGCCTCAAAACGCAACCAGCTGCCTGTCCCTGGCGAAAGAAGAAACCTCAATAATTATTTTTCTGTTTTCTTGGCTCTTTTGGGCCCTACTGCTCGGAACCACCCCTCTTCGAGTATCCCATCTCTAAATCCTCTCTGGTCTTTTCTCTTCCCGCAATTTCTCCTGGGTTTCTCCTGCTCTGGAGTCCCTCACGGGACTTCTAGCAGTCCACTCTGAACTCTCCTCGCTTCGACTTCCTCGGCTGCTTCTCCTCTGATCATTAATTCCTCGTGGAACATTCTACAGCCTCTCCGGACTTGCTCCTTCCGCTCCGAGATCGACGGCTATCTGATCCAACCAATAGCAAAACCATCTCAGGTTTTCCTATTCGGTATTCGAGCCTTTACTTCTTTCGAACGGAGTCATTCTATCCGAAGCTTCAATTACGCCGCCTCCGCGACCTCCGCCTGCTTCTGCTTCTATTGGTTCGAAGTCACAGTGTCATCGATCGATCCCGAGCTCTCGTCTTTCACAGTATAGGCCACATTCCAAGGCGACGCCGCGGTCTAAGAAAGCAGCTGGGCTTGTAGTTCCAATCAAAAATTTGAATGCACTGTATTAGATGCGCCTCCTGTCTTGTTTTCGCTCCAGAACGATATGTTTCCATGAATCTGGGAACATTTATCAGCACGGGAAATATTCCCAAAACCAGAACAGATCCAGGAAAGCGAGAGCAGAACGGACTTCTAGATCTTTAGGAATACGGGATAGTTACGGATGAAAGTCCATCGTCGAGAAACTGATTCCTCTCCCTCTGGAATCAGTGAGAAAACGAAAAGAGAAAGAATGACCACGCGTCCCCAAGGAAACGGTGTCCCCCCCCCCCCAGAAGAAACTTCTTATCATCCGGTCTCCCGGAGATAAGAATTCCCTTTCTGTTTCTCCTTTGTCTCAAATAATTAGGGGAAGACAAAGGAAGAGGGAAAGAGGAGCAAGAGATGTGATTCATCATGTGAGGTGACAGTTGGCGTGAAGAGAGGTCAGTCAGAGGAACATCATGACGTAGGCGTCATTTGTGTGTGAAAGGGAATGAAGAAGGGCTCGTTCGTTCTTTCCATCTCATTGCTGAAACTCGTCGTGACTGGAATGCGGGATTTATTCCAAGGGAAAGACGAAAGGCATGATACAACATCTCCCCCGAGCCCGATCCCTCTTTCTTTCTTCTTCCACATATCCCTCCCATTCCCATCTCTCTCTTTCTCTACGGACGCCAAGATCCATCCAATTCCGGAAATATTGAAGTGAAGATCTTCCGCCGATCGCATCACATCATATCACTCTGCATTGTACAAATCGTATCGTCTGTGTTAAATCAGCCCGGAGGGCGAACTGAAACGAGGTTTCGGAGTAAACAGAATCGACAGTAAGTGGGGGGGGGGCGAGGAAGGGGGGGGGGGGGGGGGGGGGGGGGGGAGAGGGGGGGGGGGGGGGGGGGGGGTCGCAGGAAAAGAAGGAAGAAGACAGGAATTAAATTTAAAAAGCTTGAATAATACCCCCCCGGGTATAACGAGTAGAAATGGTGAAGGATTACACCCGTGAAAGCAAGGAAAGAAGAGGCTGGGTAGTACGAATCGCCAGTGTCGGCTCGTGATATGCAGCTGAAGTAGAACGTCAATGACGATTTATTACTGCTGCATATCACGAGCCGCCGATGCGAATCGCCTGTGAAAACATGAATAAATAGAGGATATATCCGCTTATTGACACTGGAGAATAGGTACCTTCGCCACGAGGCACTTCAACAGGAGGCCATGGCATCCCTGAAAAGCGATTCGCACAAGGTTCTCACCCACAATGATCTGAGTTTACAGTGACACTGGATCACAAACTCACAGACATCAGATTATAGTAGTATAGAATGAATACAACAGCATTATAACTTTCAAAAATTTTCTACAGTTGTAAAGGCCTTGTCTTCATTTTCATTATGCCCCGGCACAACCATAACCAGTAACATGATACCCAGTAGAGGCCCAGGAAATGTGAAAATAGTCTATGAAGGAGATGTCAATAATGCATATATTTACCAAATCTCTTAGGGCCGATTTTCACCAGAAATTCGAGGACAGAAGCATCACGTGAAAGAGGCCAATTAGCAGGAGGCTGATATCACCTCGGATTGATGAAAACGTTGAGATCGTGGATAAGAATATCTCAAACCGGGAGAAATAGCGATTTTCTCCTTGAATCACATGGGAAGTGCATGTCCAGCAGGCCCGCGATACCCTCTGTTAGGTTTTTGAGTACAACCAACGACGAATTTCAACGCTGTCAGCAGAAAGTGATTGACGAGCAAGGTGGCAGAAATCGAACATCTTAGGTAATATTGTCAAGGGTAAAGACAAATTGCCAAATTTGAAACTCATTAAAAGGCCTATTCCACACAAGCCATGTCGAGTTTTAGCGGAGGTGCCGGCCATTTTGTTCACGTTTAATGTGCCACAATCCAAAGATGATCTTGCATTTTAAGGAGAAGATTTCTCCAATAAAGAAACTTGAAATGGGCTTTCATTTGTCGTAATTCCCTCTGAATAGCCGTTCTGAACTTCTTGACAAACCCTCTTTTTTTGTCCATCCTGTAGTACTGGACATTAATAGGCGATTCATACGCTTGCAAGTGTTGTTTCCGAGCTGTTGGGTACGTGATCGCACGCCATATTTCTTTGCTTCGTACGTCAAAGTTTTTTGCTCTCTATTTTCGGGTGTCAGCCTGCGATATAGCTTATCACGCGTGATTTTGGGAAGTATTATTGTTCACGGGTCCACGGGTGAGGGCGGTCCGATGGAGTCCCGTACGAGCTCATCTCCTGGCCTGTTAACCGTAGGAAACTCAGCAATGAAACTCCCAAGCCACGCTCCAGGGTGAAAGAAGTTCTACGGCACCTAAATTTTCCGAATATATTTAGAAGTTTTGTGTTGCAAGGTGAACCAAAATTGCGAATTCGGCCGCGGGAAGAATTAACAGATTCTTGAACTCTCAGGTTCAGTAGCTCCAGATTTCAGAAAGGACCGAACCGTTGTGGCTTTTTAAATATTCTATTTTAGGCCAGAGCACCTGGAACAGGTGTGTCAATTTTCGAGTTCATGCGTAAGCGTGATCCGTGATAGCTATCACAGATCACGCGTACGATGTGATGCATGATGTGATGCACGATGTGATGCGTGTGATGCATGATACGCACTTTTCCGCAAAACGCGTGAAACGGCGATTCCGCAAGTACGATAATGCCAAGGCACTATCCGTTTTATAATTCCCAGCCACGTATGTGCTCCAAGACCTCCGGAAACGCTCGACAGAAACAGGAAATCGCGGAGCTGGAGAGCTTGGCGAGCGGAGGGAGCATACCGATTTTTGAGTCCGTGTTCGAGGGTGAGCGTGTGCCTTGAGAGTGGAAATTTGCATCGGAAAGGGTTATTCTGCGCTACGATTCCTACTATATGGTACTATAGTGCCTCATGATGCATGGAAATAAAGGGGGGGGGGGGGGGAAGCCTTCGCAAGGAGAGAAGGAATGAGATGGAAAAAGAGAAGAGGGAGTCTCTCCATCTTCAGCTGCCAGACATGGAAGTACACATAAATGTTGAAAAATCGCGTCTGGCTACATCGCTATGACTGGTATCTTGAGATAATGAATGAACTTCATTATGTCTTCCTCGTTCATCACTGTCTCCTTTCTTCGCGCACTATTGTTTTTTTCACAGAAAAGCTGCTCTTATCTACTCTGAGGGAGCCCACGACGCGTGCCACGCGGTCATGGGAAGGAAGGCAACTGTAGAATGCAGCAGATGCTCAGAGAGGGCTCCCTTTCGCCTTTCACCGTTTGGCACATCAATAAGTACGCCTAACGGTACTAGAAAGTAGCTTGTAATGACCCGGAGAGAGAGATGCCTCCAAGATTTATGAAGACCATCAAGACGGTATGGAATGGAGGGGATCGTCAATAGCCGTTTGTGAACGACCATGAATAAGCGAGCTAAACGATGATCTTCAGAAGACTCACCGTAAATGGATGAACCGACGGGGGAAAGGGAGAGAACTAAGGCAAAACTGATGCATTTCAGGACCGTTCCCTCCACCCTCCACTGCCCATCTTCAGCCATGTCTTCTCCCCTTCCACCTAAAATAAATGAAGAGAAAAAGATGCAGAGAAGGAAAATGGAGAAAGGGCGAGAAAGAGAGAGAGAGAGAGAGGGAAAAAGCGCAATAAGCTGGCAGGGAGCCCATGATATTGCAGGGCCTCCCGTCGTTTAATGTGACATGATACACAGAAGGGACAGAGAGGGGACGAAATCTGTGTCGTATCCTCATCCTTCTCGACGTCGTTCACCCGGGAAACTTCATCGCACTCAGAGGCGGCAAGACATGCAATCAACAGAAGCCCTCTCGAAATCAAGGCAATTAATTACGAGGCGCAATAGCCCCCGGCTCGTGAGATTCCTTACAACGGGGAGAGAAATAATCGTAACCCGAGACGTCGTACGAAGAACAATATGTCATTTTTGGTAGAAGGGGATATATGAAGGCCTTTAATACTGTCCCCACGCTAGCGGGAATCATGATGGAAAAATGCATGAGCTGCTTCTATATGAGAGCCTAGGCCTAAGACGTCTACAGTAACGGTATATCCAAGCTTGGACAGAAACGGAAGCAGAGATGAGATAAATTCTCCCTCTACACTTTTAAATCTGCACATAAATCATCTCTCCATTTTCTCACTAGTGCCTACACTCCCATCTTTGCGCAGTATATCTCCTTGCTTCCTCCTTTTTCGCATTTTCGAACTATTTCCTCTCCATAACTTATCCAGAATCCTTGTCTCTTTTTGCAAATCACACATCATTTTACTTTTCCTCTTGAAACAATAGGGACAATCAGAGCCTCCCATAGCCTAGGATGATGAGAGGGGGCAAATATCCGCATGGATCTCATTTCGTGCAAGTTATTCGTGTCTTCTCCGAGAGAAAAGGATGGAAAGAAGAAATCTAATTAGAATTAGTTCAGGGTTCCCCCTATCTCTCTGTATCTCTCTTGTCTCTCCTGCCTCTTTCTCTTCATTCATGATCCCTAGATGCAATGTAGGAGCCTGGACATGAATAATTGAAAGGTCTCGGGACGTACAGGAAGCTTCGATCTCTCTCCCTCCCTCTCTCTCTCTCTCTCTCTCTCCCATCCCCCCCTCCCTCTCTCTCTCTCCCATCCCCCCTCCCCCTTCTCTCCCTCTTCACCTTCAATTACTACCACGTCCTCAACCTCGTTTCCTTTACATCCAGCAAAACAATGAACAAAGGGATGAAGGGAAAAAAAAAGTGCTAAACTGCCCTACGATCTGCAATCGTTTGCGGTCGAGATCAAGGGCGTTGAAGTGCGGGAAATTGGGAGCCTGGATACAAGGCATCTGAAACCAGGGAAACGAGCAGGCAAGCTTCCTTCTCAGGGGTTCAATTATACGAAATGGGATGGAGAATGGAAGCCCGGAGGCAAGACAGTAGAGGAGGACCAGGAAAACGAGCAGGCAGGCGTCCTACTCAGGGGCTTAACGGAGATGGGGAAAGGCCGAGGGGGAAAGAGAGAGAGCGAGAGAGGGGGAGAGATCCCAGGAGATAGCTGCAGTTGTCACAATAGAAGATAACAGATGGATAGCCCTTGTCTGAAGCAGTCATTGATAATATGAATACTGTGAGTGTGTAGTCTAACTGAAGTTCGATCTGCATATGAAGAGCATCCCTTGAACACATTCAATTACGAATAAGAGAACTGCTCTACCAAACTATTTCAACATTTAACAAGACATCCGAAGAAAATATCATAAAACTTTCTAACTTCGTTATACAGCCTTTCAAAAAGTCTTGAAACACATACTCACGGTAAAAAATGTTCTGCACCAATAGAAATTTAAACAAATACGATTTAGGCACTGCTTGCATGTCTCATACAACAATACGTCTTCTCCATTTCCCACTTTGTCGGGTGCGCGTTGGGCCCTGGTCGAGGATTCATATACATACGTTATGTAAGAAATAAATCCCAGTCCCGATCAATCCCGTGGCTTTTTCCTGCCTTTAGTCCCGCGTCCTTTGCGTTCACGTAATCGTAAGACCAAGTCCCACTCGTTTCAGTCAGTTTCTGCAGATCTCTTCCGGTCTCAAAAGTTGAATCTTAATGATAATTATGATAGTACAAGAGAAGGAATGAGGCTAGCTTACAGGAAATTCATTTCAAAAAGCCAGAAAGGGAAGGAAGGGTGTAGCCTTAAGCATCCAGCAGATCTGAAAGGAAAGTAATATATTACCCGATAGAATCTGAATCTCCTCGGCTTCTAATTCTCACGAAGTCATATACAGCATTAAGCCAACATTTTCGTTTTTCAGGGAGATCCGAATCTTAAAACATGAAAATATATCCGATTTGGGGTTTTAGTTCCACCTCATACAACAGCCCTTGAAAAGTAGCATCCAAGAACTCCAGAAGTTGATAAAATACATTGAGACCATCTGCTGTTGACTGTTCTTACTTTCTCCGTATTCGAAATGTCAGAATACGTGAAGGAAAAAAATTCCTTTGGAAGTCTCCACTTCAACCACCCGAGAAGACGCGAAAGATTTCCCTCTTACGATGCTCCCTTCATCATACCCCCCCCCCGCGTCTTCGGTCTGCACACACACTCGATCAGTTAGCTTATGGGTATGCAATCAGGAGATGCAACGTCTATATTAGAGATGGAAGAAAACCCTTCAAGCTACTAAGAGGAGAGCTCGAGCCAATGAAGACCCTCTCCTTTGCATCTGCGTCTCACTCCAAGTCTCATGGAAATACGTAGGTCGCTTAAAAACTCAAACACGTAAGAAACGAGAGCAGACTTAAAGAGAAACTTTTAATGGATAGAAGTGAGGAACCAATGTACAAAAAGAAACTCCAAAATTTCGCTTTTTACGTTTGACCAAAAAAATGCTTCCCTTATACTCAGCTCAAAATAAACGTTTTTTCGGGACAAGAGGCCGCAAATGGCAGGGTTAAATGAGCGCGGCAGCTTTCAATTCTCGGCAAGGTCATAAACATCCGGTCTCAGGTGTCATTAAACCCCAAGAGCCTAGCCACAGCAAACAGCCTAGCCTGGCTGTTAGGGTTGTCGGATTGTCAGGTCTCACCAGGATGAAAGTTTGGTTAATATTTCAAGACCGGAGGAGGAACACTGCGGAATAGACAACTCTAATCTCTGTTCGTCTTACCGTCCCGTCGAAACTTAGTCTAACGCTGTTTTGTGGTCTGATGACAGCCCATGCTCCATTTAGGATCTCATCAATACCTATTACCACCATCCTATGCAGATGATATCAGGACGATTTTGAGGGGACGTGAACTTCACCATTAAAGCAGCATTAACCGTGGGTACGATTCACAGTTGCCCGGAATGGATCAATTGGAATAGACAAAGGGGAAGAAAGCGGAAACGCGGGTAAGGGAATATAATGGGGGATGAGCCAATTGGAGGGGAGATTACGGGGGGATGAGGCAAGCAGCCAAGTTTTCAACGTGAACTCTAGTCTCTGCAGTGGGCTAGGCCTACATCTCTTCTATACTACGATAGACGGCCTGGAGGATCATGATGTGATCCATCATTTCCGCTCCGTTGCAGCAGCCTCGAGCTAAGCGGATGAACCCATTTTACAGCTGGCTCCGACTCCCGGGAACCAGGAGAATTTCGATATCATGCATGCAATAACTCTATTATCGTCACTCACGTGCAGTGCATGACAACCCTTCTTTCTTTCTTCACGCGTTTCGCCTCTCCATCCTGAAAGAAAAAGAAAAGAAAGTGAGGGAGCGAACCGACAACTCCCCAATGCTAGGTCTAGTGCAGGAGAATTGAAAGTTTGGGACCGGTGGGTCACGATAGAAGTAAAAAGAATATTGCGGGCGAGAAAAAGGACAGGGTACAATTATGCATTAATTTTATCTACTTGAATGCGAAACGTGATGTGACGGATCCTGCCCGCGAACAGTATACTTTGGACGCTGCTGGTAGTTAACGATGAGGAAGAGGTGGAAGAGAGGGAGGAAGAAAACTGAACTTCAAAGCTACTGGCTCTGTTTCACGTTATTTAAGGCTCAGTTAGAGATGCCAAGAATCGTTTTTGCTCATTCATGACGTTCTGTGTCCGAGAGCGTACATAAGAAAACATGGGTATACTACACTTGAAGATATAAATATATTTGTGGATGTTCACCTAGTGCCTAGTTAATGCGTTCCACGGTTTACCAGCCTACAAGTCAAGTAAAGAAGCAATTTCTCCAGCGGAGATTCACTCGAGGCTTACACAACTTGAACTGGTTCCCTCTCGTTCTACTGTTTTACTAACGAGGTAGAAAAAACCTACTTCGTTCTATGTTATCGATTCCGTTAATGATGTTAAAGGACTGGATGAGGCCCTCCTCATTAACCTTCTCTCGCGCGAATGCATTCCCAACACTTCTAAATGTGTCTCATACGAAAGTCCATCATTTTCGTAGCTCGCCTCTGAACCCTTTCCAGCACCATTAAATCATTTTTATTTGCTGGCCTCCAAAATTGAACACGAGACTCTAAATGGGATCTTACCAGCATACAAAGGAAGAATGATGCGCGAGCTCTTATGGGCAAGAGAATTGTACCGAAAATCTTGTTACGTTTAGTTTCGATTGTGCACGAGAGAACTCGAATGTCTCATCTGGGGTGATCCCTAAGTCTCTCTATCCATTTTCCTCACCAAGTTTAATCTCGCCGAAGGCATTTATGGGCCTGTTGTTATTATGACTTATTAAATTCCACGAGCCATTTTTTTTCCCTCTCCTCGTCCAAAAGCTGGAAATATCTCTCGGCTCCCATGATGTTTGATGGAGAAACGTACGAGCACGTCGTCGGAAAATTTCCTGATTTTACTCGCTAGGCCTTGATCTAAACCGTAAATGTAAACCAGAAATAGAAGTGATCGTTTGAGACTTCCGTGGACACCTGATTTACAATTGCTCTCTGCTCTTTTCCCGACGACTCATCCAATTTCTCACGCACCCTCGAATCCCGTGCGATTCCAATTTAGCGCGTGACCTCTCGAGAGGAACGGTATCGAAAGCTTTCGCGAAGACTAAACAGACGACGTCAATGGGATTCTCTTCATCCCTCTCACCCAATCACCACTCGATCGTGAAATTCGAGACGATTTCGTCGTCTCCTTTAGCCGTGTTGAGATTCCCGGATGAGCGAGGTGCGCCTCGAGGAATTCTCAGGCAAGAACCCTCGTCTTGTTTTCCCCTTGATCGCCGAAATACTCGGGAGATTCGCCGGCCTCACGTTTCCCCGACTCTTCCCATTCCCCTTCTTAAAGATCCGTACGACGTTCGCTGATTTCCAATCCCTAGGCTCTTCCCCGGGCAAAAAGTTATCCTCGAGCACGATTTTTTTTTTTAAAGCGACACTTCCCGACCGAATTTCTCGACGATACGAGCTGGAATTTTACGAAAGACCCAGATCTCTTCCTCTACATGGCGACATCCTCGATGCACGCCATCGTCGGTACGTAGTCGGATTCGCTTGTAAACGCGCGAGAAAAGAACTCGTTCGGTGTCCCCCATACAAAACGTTACCCCCATGGCCAGGCCTGGCCATGCTTTCCTTATTTGCAATTAAATCCCCATCGTCGTCCTTCGGGGGCCGGATCGAATATCGACTCCTGTCGCTGGCATGTCGATAAAAGGCCTTGGAAATATTCTCGGTATCTATAGCAGGACGCTCCTCTTGCT